GGGAGATGTGCTCTTCTGAAGTCAGGTTGTCCAAATAAGGAAAGTTACCCGAAAATATGAGGGATATTTTGGTCTTTTCCTTATTCAATCGGATTTAAGCGTTTCTGGTAAGGTTTTAGGAGTCTAAACTAATTGGAATCAGTTTTAGTTATTTTTAAATTACAGTTAGGGTAGTTCAAGAAGAGAAAAGAGGAGAAAAAGGTCAAAATTCCAAGCGTTCATTCAAGAAATTCTAGATTTCGCCAAGAACCTAGTTCTTTGAGGTATGTAAGCTTCCATAGTGTTGGGTTCGTTCACCCGCACGCCAATCATGAGTTTCTTTTGCGAATATATCCATAAATATTGAGCAATCTAAGTTCTTGATGAATTCTTGATAAGTGTTCTTGAAGTTTCGTTCTAAATCTTGTGTTGTTGGGATTTCGATGAGTTCTTGAGATGAAAGTTAGGAGTTCGAGAGTTTTTTTTTAGTAGATTTTTGTGTACTTATGTTAGGTATTCGAATCTATGTAAGTTGGGAAGAAACCATTCGATTCTACGTGAATTAGAGCCAAAAATCGAAGAAGAGGGGCAGGGCATGCGCTAGAGGGGGCTGGAGCGGTGCCCTAGGAGTGCGCCAGGAAGTGTTCTCTAAATTTTAAAGGCTGGCATTCCACGCCAGCAGTGCGCCAGGGTTGCCTGCCCCCACCATTTTTCCGTCGTTTTACCCGCCTAAGTTTTTTTAAAGTGTACCTTTACTCCCTGTTGATTCCAAACACTCTAAACTACTTCTAAAACACCTAGAAATCATCCATAACATGAATCATAACGTTGAATTCATAATTCAAATTCAAGATAGAGTTAAGAGTAAAGTCTTGAGAGTTCTTTCAAACATTTTGAGAAAGTTCCTTTGCGTCCTTCTGAGGAGTCTTCTATAATTTCTAATAACTTGTTTCAAGACTTGAGTAGGTGAGTATGAGAATGAGGGGAATGTATTCTTGAGTCTACATTATCATGGAGATCCTTCATATCATGAATCATAAGTCTTGAATTCATAATTCAAATAAAGAAAGAGTTAAGATAATAATTCAAGAAAGTCTTTGAGTTATATCATGAATCCTTTGAGATCAACTATAGATTTGAGCTAAGTTTTGAGGAAGTAAGTATGAGAATGAGAAGAGTCATTTACATGGGTTCCATATTGTTATGCAGATCCTTGAGTCGAGTCGTTCATGCCCATAAGTTCTGCATGAACTCCATAAGTTGAGTATCTTTGAGAGGAGTACTATCTTCAAGTTCTAAGTCTTGAGTATTGAGTTCCTAACCCTTTTGAGGTCATTTTTCTAATAGTGGGACTATTACGTGTTACCCATGAAGGTCCTTGAGTTGAGTTGTTCATGCTCACATAATTCCGCATGAACCCTATGAGTTGAGCATTCCTGAAATGAGTAGTATGATAAAGTCCTTGAGTTGAGTTGTTCATGCCCATAATTTCGCATGAACCCTCTGAGTCGAGCATTTTTTAGATGAGTAGTATCATTGAGTTCTTGAGTTCCAAGTATTGAGTTCTATGTATGGTTATTGAAAACCTTGAAGTGAGTCGTTCACGCCCATAATTCGGCATGAACCTTATTTTGAGATGTCTTTTACAATCGCTTTAAACTTGTTTTAAGACTTGAGCACTTGAGTTTGAGAAAGAGTAGAGTTAAGTTCTTTTTTTTCAAAATGAATATATGGGAACTAAGTATTTCGAAGAGTAAATGTTTTCACATTTAAAGGAGGAGGAAACTGAGCTTTCCAAAAGAATTTTGAGCAGTTTGAGTATCATCTCTTTTAAGAGGGATTTTTGAGTAATAATCTTAAAACATAGAAAGAGTTATGTATTTTTAAACATATGATCTAGATATATTTTGGGAGTATTATTGAGCACCGATATGGGGGAGAGTTCTAACAACTCACATCCCCTATAAACCATGTAGCCAACGTGGGTACAAAGGGTTATACTTTTTAGATGATTCCTTAATACTTTTAGCATAGACTAGTGGATCCACTTATTAGTAAGTTCTATACCTCGACAAAGTATAGGTCAGTTCTGGCAGTGTAGGCTAGACGTTGTATCATCACATAGCTCATAGTTATAGTTGTCGGTTAGAGAACTCCCATAGAGTTATATTGTATTTTTATATACAAATTGAGTTATTATTGTATTCTTCAATATATTAAGTTGTTATCAACTATTTTTAAAAGCTTTCCATATATTGCATCTTTTATTGTTGCTTTATCTTTTGAGTAATCAGAGTTGAACTATGTTTCACTAAGTTGAGTATCTTATTATTGAGTTGAGCCCTATTTTCTCTGAGTTGACTTGAACTATGTTTCACTGAGTTGAGTATCTTATTATTGAGTTGAGCCCGATTTTCTCTGAGTTGAGTTGAGTTAAGTGAGCTCAGAAGAGGTAAGTATGTTTCTTTTCCACCAGTTCAAGCTTATGTTTCTGCTTTAGAATTCCCTCTACATGCTCGTACATTCCATGTACTGAGCCATTTGGCCTGCATCGTTTCATGATGTTGATACATGTATTCAGGATCATCAATAGGCTTTTCGTTGGGGTCATATGATATTCCAGTCAGCTTTAGTGAGCCTTCTTATATTCAGGAGGACTTCACCTTTATCTTACAATTAGTAGTTTTGAGATGTCGCGAGTCTTGTCCCGATATCCTTATGTAATTGTAGAGGCTTCATAGATTGACATAGTTGAGGAGTTTTTGTATTTACTTTTATTTTGAATATTGTACAAACTTATAAAAAAGTTGAGTATTTGAGTTTATTGAAATTAATTCAGTTTTAATCTTTTGTATGTATGAGTTAGTCTTTCACTTGTAGCTAGCCAGGTTGAGGGTTCGCTTTGGGACCAACAATAGTTATCGAGTGCCGGCCACATCCAGGGTGTAGGTGCGGGTCGTGACATATTAGGAAACCACTCAAATGAAATCGAAAGGATATAGAGTCATAATGTAAAGAATTAGTGGAATTTAGTGTAGCCTTCGAAAGTAGGCAAGATTAATGATCTCATTGCAAGGGTCAAAAATGTATCTTCAGAGGGAGTGCAGAATTAGGTTCAGTGACACATAGTTCTATCTCTTTTGCTCTGGTGAAGGTGATAATATTATGTTTCATTCATATGGGTTAAAAAAACTATTGGATAAGATTTGAGAAAGAAGTCTATAGGCGTTCGGCTCGAGTGTGGTGATAAGTTTTTTTGTAATTTTGAGTTGGTAACTGGTATGGTTGAAATCCAAATTTAAGTCTTTCATTGTAAGTCTATGTTTGTGGTAGTATGTTTGTCAAGGTGTGGATTGGTAATGTAAGAAATGATCTATCACATTGAGTATTGAGCATTTCAAAGGACTTGTGCACGGTTGGATCGTAAAGTTTGTTTATTTTTATTGTTAAAGAACCTAAAATAAAATTTTACTTAAAAGTGTTGGTTCAGAGTATAAGGTAAAATTTCATGGGTTGTTAGTCAAAGGATAAGATTAGTAAGCAAGTTAGTGAAAAGAGCAAGAGTCTCGTGTATTGAGAAGTTCAAGATATTTATAATTTGCATCAAGGGAAGAATTTAAGAAAAGTGAAGGAATATAACCTCTCGTACAAACCCTTTGTTTGTAGTTCAAGTTGTATTGACTTTTACCTATAAGCTCACATATGACTGTGAGATGTGAACTGGTTTGGCACAGACTTACTAGGGGTTTATCATCAATTTTTATGCAGATTGAGTTTTTGTTTGGGTGAAAAAAAAAATGATGTGTGAAAGATTCTATATGGTTATGTCGGACTTGATTTTTCAAATTATGGTAGGTAACTTATGGATGTGCAACAGTATGAACCTACGGTTCTACATGGTTAATGAGGATTTCAAGGAGATTGAAACTACTTTGTTGATGGAACTATGCAAACTATCATGATGTGTTATATAAGAACTTGATGGTAAATATAGATTCTATGCTCATACTATACAAAATTATCGGGGGTGACCAGAATTTCTCCAAGTTTTGGAATGAGGTATATGATGGTTTGAATGGTAATTGAAACTTGGTATGTGAATGATTGCGTGGAGTTGACACTGAACATGATTCAATAGTTTTATATTGATGAAAAGAACTATCAGATTTAAAATTAGGGCTATCAGCCTTGGGTGGGACCCATATATATCATGGGATGCTTAAATGGAAAGAGAATGAACCATAGTTTGAAATTTTTGAAGGTGGCAATGTGTTTTCTAAGAAAACTTTGATTCTAGTCATGACGATTTGAGAGTAAGGTAAATGGTCGGTATGGTTATGATATTTGTTAGTATTAAGTATGTTGGCTTCAGTGGAGTACTGTGAGAAGTATGTGGGGTTTTAATAAATCCAGTATGTGTACGATTGTAAAAAGGACCAAACCGGTTGATTACAGGTGGCTAAAAATGAAGGAAATAGAGCCAGATGAATGGAAGTGTTTGCTATGGACACTATGGAAGGAGTATCTTTTGTTATTCGACCTTGGTTCTGTACATTTTTATGTGACCATCATCCTCGTTTTGGACATTATTTGGAGTATGATTTACTGCTTATGCCACACATGTTTTCATATCTATAGGTGAATCCCCAGTGGTGGATCAGGTGTACTGATCCTGCGATTGTCCTCATGGTAGGGTGGCATCCTTGGGATACTTCATTTCAGTTATTAAAGATTTGTTGTTGTTTGGGATAGTTGAAGTTAATAATGCATCAGATTTAGTAGTGTCTTCTCTTTAGGACTCTGTTGTAACTTCCTCTGGTTATAGATAAGTCTTACCATTTTCTTAGTTTATCTCTTTGCTGTAGAAGTTCTACAGAATCTATATATACTTAGTTTACAATTAATAAAATACATCGTTCCTTTCATTTTATTGGCAACTTTATACTTTATATGGTATCAAGAGACAATTAACTCTCACGAGTAAATTTCTGTTGAGAAACCCTCCCACCCTTCCTAGCAAAATGGCCCCAAACCTCACTGTAACCAACTCCGATGCCAATACAACGATTGTTCAGTTTAATCTTGTCACCCAGTTACCAATCAAATTAACTGGCAGCCACAATTTTTTCCTTTGGAAAGCACAACTGTCCATGCTTATGTGTGGTCACAATCGTCTGGGTCGCCTCGCAAAAGAAACCCTTCATGTCGCTGATTATCTGTACCAGGTTCAATCTCTCTATGATGAACTTTCCAGTGCTGGAGCTCATGTGTCCAATGAGGAAATGATTGTCAAAATCCTCACTGGACTTGGACCTGAATTCCGTGAAATATCAGCTTCTATTCGTGCAAGAGAATCTACTATCTCTTATCTAGAACTTTATGAGAAGTTACTTGACCATGAACATTCCGTCAAGCATGAAGAATCAAAGAAGCCACTCTCAACACCCATTACTGCTGCTCTTACACAGCAAACAAACATGCATCCTCGCCAAGGAAACACCTCTAATAGGCGTTCAAATGCAAATTCCCCTAACACCAACCAGTCAAGGCGTGCATAACCATGGCGTACTGCCAACAATAACCAATAACAGCGTTTTGACCATACATTGAAGTGTCAGTTATGTGACCGTCCTGGTCATTCTACTAAGGTTTGCAGATCACAATCACATGATCACATACAAGCCCGGGAAAACTATGCTGCTCGATTTCCAACTCAACAGGCTCCTTGGATTGTTGATACAAGCACCACTCATCATATGGCCTCTAATGCGCAAAACTTCACTGATGTGCACACCTACCACGGTCCAGAGGAGATAGCAATGGGGGACGGTAACACCATTCCAGTATCTCATACCGGTAACACTAACTTAAGTGCATCGAATCAACAACTTAAGCTTCTCAATACTTTATGTTCTCATTCTATAAAAAATAATCTTCTTTATATTTCCAAATTTTATCGCGATAGCCATACATCCATTGAATTCTTTCTTTTTTCTTATTGTGTGAAGGATCTGAGTACGAGGGTGCCTCTGTTTCGCGGACAGAATCGAGATGGGCTTTATGAGTGGCCGTTGGGCAGTGCACATCATACACCTCAATGCAATGTTGTCATTCCTCTACAGCTGTGGCATCGATATTTAGGCCATCCTAATCATCGTACTTTAAACACGATTTTACATCAATTTTCTCTTCCAGTTTCACATTCTAGAACCGCTTCCGTTTGTAATTTGTGTTATTCTAATAAAATGCATAGGTTACCTTTTTCTGAAAATTCATTACAAAGTCAACGACCATTGCAAATAATTTATACTGATTTATGGGGGCCATCTCCTGTTTTGTCAATTGATAACAAGAGATATTATGCCTTATTTGTTGACCAGTACACGAAATACATGTGGTTGTTCACTATAAAATCAAAAAAGGAAGTTCTTGATGTCTTTCAAGATTTACATCCCTTACTTGAGCGTCAATTTCAAGCCAAAATTATGTCTCTCTATACTAATGGTGGTGGTGAGTTCCAAGGTTTATCCTCATATCTCAAAACTCATTGTATTGAACACTTAGTGACACCACCATACACGCCTCAAAGAGTGGCATCAGTTGAACGCAAACACAAGCATGTAGTTGAGGCTGCCAAAACCTTGTTGCATCAAGCCTCCTTGCCCTCATCTTTTTGGAGTTTTTCCTATCACCAAGTAGTCTACCTTATAAATCGTCTAACCACTCCAAATTTACAAAATAAATGCCCTTATGAAATTTTATTTCACGAGGCTCCAAAGTATGAATCACTTAGAGTTTTTGGTTGTTTATGTTACCAATGGCTTAAACCGTATGCCAAAAATAAGTTAGAGCCAAAATCGACTCCTTGTGTATATCTAGGGTTTTCTAATAAACATTACTGCCACCAATGCTTTGATCCCGTAAAAAATAAATCGTACTTATCTAGGGATGTTCAGTTTTTGGAAGACACCTATTCTTTTCATAATATTTTTTCGAATCTAAAAATCCAACAGAGCACTGATATCGCTTGGGAAATTTGTTCTGATGTTCTATATGTGACTAATAAACCATGAAGTTTTTATTCTTGTCATCCCCTCCCAGATGCTCTGCCTGTACACTTTCCACTACCCAACTCAATGTCTACCAGATCAGAAGGTGTCTCCGTTGCATCAGGTAATTCTCAGACTTTATCATCTCCATCATTGCCACACACAGTTACACCAGCACCGAATAATACTCAGCCCCCACCATCACCCAGACCATTAATCACCTATCAACGCAAAAATCACCAACAACTAAGTACCTCAATATTACCACTCCCTTCCCTTATACCTCCCACCAACCTACTTTCTCAGTCATCTGCCAATAACCCTTTCCAACCTGCACTAGCTTTGACTCCATCTGATTCTTCACCCGTGGTGACAACTTCAAGCCATCCCATGGTCACACGCTCCAAAACAAATAGCCTTAAACCCAAGCAGTTTAGTGTCAATGTTCAACTCTCCTCTTCTTTTGTTCCTCATACATACAAACAAGAACGTCCTCACCCGCACTGGAGAGAAGTGATGCAAGCTGAATTTGATGCACTTGTTAGAAATCGGACATGGGATTTGGTTCCAGTTACTCCTTCGATGAATATGGTTGAGTTCAAGTGGCTGTTTTGTATAAAACATAAATCTGATGGTTCCATTGGCAGGTATAAATCTCGTCTTGTTGCAAAGGGATTTACCCAGCATCCAGGCTTAGACTTCCATTCCACATTCAGCCCGGTAGGCAAACCAATTACTGTTCGGTTGGTGCTTACCATTGCGATGCAGTACAACTGGCCAATCCATCAGATTGATGTCAATAATGCATTCTTACAAGGAATCCTTGAGGAAAGAGTTTATATGAGGCAGCCATCGGGCTTTGAAGATCAAAGTCTCTCCACCCATGTATGTAAGTTGAATAAAGCATTCTATGGCTTGAAACAAGCTCCCCAAGCTTGGTACAATGAGCTCAAAAGTTATTTGCTAGCTGTTGGATTTTTCAAGTCCCAATCTGATTCTTCCTTATTTATTTTGCATAATTTTGGATTCACTGTTTATGTTCTTATCTAAGTGGATGATATAATCATCACTAGAAATCAGATTCGTGGGGTAAGTAATATAATTGATAGTCTTTCCACTCGTTTCTCGTTGAAAGACCTTGGACAGCTCCATTATATTTTGGGTGTTGAGGTTATCTCTTCTACTGCTGGTCTTTTTTTTTGTCCCAACACAAGTATATTATGGATCTTTTAGATGATGTTGACATGCTAGACAGTAAACGAGCTCTTACACCTATGACCTCAACTACAATTCTGACAGCTTCAGTGAATGATCCTTCGGTTGATGGTACTCTTGATAGGCAGGTAATTGGAAAGTTGGACTACTTATCCATTACATGTCCTGACATTGCCTTCACTGTTAGAAAGCTCTCTCAATTTATGCATAATCCATGCCACTCTCACTGGAAAGCAGTCAAGCGATTACTCTGTTATCTTCGTCACACCTGCCAATATGGCATACAGATTGCCAAAGCTCTATATTCTCGTTTGGTTGTTTATTCAGATTCAGATTGGGCTGTTGATCCAAATAATCGCACTTCTACCTCTAGCTATATCACTTTTATGGGCAACACACCAATTTCCTAGGCCTCCAAGAAATAGCGCTCTGTATCTCGGTCCTCTATAGAAGCTGAGTATAGAGTTGTGGTTGCTACTGTTGCAGAAATCAACTGGATCACAAATCTTCTTCATGAACTTTGGCTTTCACTTAAGGCAGTTCCACAGGTTTTCTTTGACAACATCAGCACCACTTACATTTGTTCCAATCCGATATTTCATCGTAGGATGAAGCATGTCGCCATAGACTTTCACTTTGTTCGTGAACAAGTTCAGAACAAGGATATTGAAGTTCACCACCTTCACTCAGCTGATCAAGTGGCTGACATACTCACAAAACCTCTTCCAAAAGCTTCTTTTGTCCAACAATTTTCCAAGTTGGGTGTTGTTGACACCACCAACTTGCGGGGGCGTAATAACGTATCAGATTTAGTAGTGTCTTCTCTTTAGGACTCTGTTGTAACCTCCTCCTTATATATAGGTTATAGATAAGTCTTACCTTTTTCTTAGTTATCTCTTTGTTGTAGAAGTTGTAGAAGTTGTAGAAGTTGTACATAATCTATATATACTTAGTTTACAATCAATAAAATACATCGTTCCTTTCATTCTATTGGCAACTTTATACTTGATAGAGTTATACCGGTGATTTTACATGCACAACAATATTTATGAGAACTTATAGACGAGCTACAGTGAATAGATATAGTTTTTCGATAGTTTTAATATACATCTAATAGTCAAGGTCATGTTTGTGCTATGTGTGATTGAGTGTGGGGGTCATTGGGTCTATTTCTACTGCTCTTAAGGGTTGTTTATAATCACAGCTACCGGTCTAGCATTTCGATCGTGTTGTTAGAAGTTCTACATTCTCGAGTGTACCGCTTGTTGGGTGGTTACTTGATCTTGTTTTCTTTGGGTTAGATCTGTTTGATTCTCACCTGGTGAGTACCTGATGTCAAAATATCATTTTTTTATAACTTAAGCCCTGGAAAGATTATGCTGTGTGAATGGAATCTCAATGAGATCAGTGATAATTTGTACATTATGAGTGTTTGGTGGTTGGTTTAGGTTCACTTATGATTGTAGCCAGTATTGAATCAGAATGTTATTGTGGGTTAGGTGAGAAAAGATTCATCCTGATAATTGGGTTATGGTCCTGTGGGTTTCGGTTCAGATTGGGTTCATGGGTTAGTCTTAGGCTTTGTAAGCACCCCTGATTTGTAATTTTAGTTCTTAGTAGTTGATCTTGATGAAATGGTCTTAAGGAGGATCTCACTTTGAGAGATGAATACATACTCTGAAAAATCATAACTCAGGCTTTTGGTAACGTCGATTATTCTTCCTTCTTCTTCATTATGTTAGAGGACGAACATGGTTTTTTGTGGTGGATAATGTAATGATCCGGAAGGTCATTTATGAAAATTTTCATAAGGTTACTATTTTACCCCTTTCGATAGTTGGCCCAGACATTTCTGATCAATTTATGAAATTGGTTTGGGAATTTTGAACTATTCATTTAACTATAGTTAATTAATTGACGACTAGTTTTTAATATTCTGTTTAATTTGTGGCCAATGGGCTAACTCATAATTTATTTAATACCACTTGACCCATATTTATTAGAATAAGTTGCTAGGGTTTGTCACTTTTAATACATAATTATTTTATTTAGAAAAGAAAATAGATTAAAAAAGAAGAAGAAAGGAATAGGCGAGGGGGAATTGGACAACTGGCAAAGTGGAGGCGCACACATCTTCAGGTCAGAGCTAAGTGAAGCTCAAGCTATTTTTCTTTATATGAAATTAGGATATGACACTTACATTAGTATAATAATGTTATTAGGGGGGGGGG